TAGAAGTTGAATATGGATGGCTGTTTGCTGACAATGGGGACAAACTTACAGTGCTCATTAATCGTTAGTGACCTGCTTCTGTCATTCAGAATTGTTCCGAGAGATAATAAAGGTATGTTATACCTATGTGTGAGCGTGTGTGTTAGAAGCCATATACATATTCATGCTTCTATACAGCTATGTGGAAAATTATTTTGAGGTAGTAAAAAAAATCTGAGCTTAAGCAGTAAAAAATATGGCAATTAATTTACTGTAATCTGGCAGCCAAATAATAGATTTTACATTTCCATCCAATAAATATTTAATTATTAGCTTAAGGAATAGTGCTTTACAGTAGGTTGCTGGTCATAGTACAGTTAATGTTTTTCTGAGATAAAAAATATGATTTCTTGCAATAACCTTTTAGCATGCTAATTACATTTGATTACAGTTTCTGAATGAAAAAACATTAATTACAATTCTTCTATTGAAGGCCCTAGGCCAGTGAAATCACTGGTATCAGTTAAATACGTCACTAAAACAATTTGTGCACTGCACAAATGTAGAGTGTAAAGAATAGACCAGAAATGAAATAGTTGCTTTCAGAAAATTGTGTTTTAAAAAGTAATTTCAGTTCATAGAACTAGATTTTTTTGTTCTCATATGGTAAATATGATTCATATTTACTATTAGGATAATGTCTAAATATTCTACATGTAGCACTACACCCCTAGGAGCCACTGGATAGGGTGGGTCCTTTGTTCTTTGCCTTGACCTTCTCAAGAACCTCAGCCCCCGATACACCAGGTTTAGTGTACAAACATACAATATCACAGGAATTCACTGAAAGTAATACTTAGTACCCTATAGTAGTGCTATATTGAATAAAATAGGCATCAAACCAGGTAGTAAAGGCAAACTTAATATATTGTCACCCAATATAGTTGGTAATTAAGCAAGAATAAAATGGATTAACCATGGTAATAACACAATTTGGCATACAAAGTGATTAACAGTAAGGACCTGGTGTAAAATAACATTTGGTTTTCAGATCAGCATAAACAGTAGCATGGCCACCTCAAGTGCAGCAGTGAGCAGTAGTAAATTTAATCTACCGAGTGCTGGAATGATACGCATTTATGGCGGTGATGCTAGTCCTTGACCAACTGGGTATGCACTGTCCAAAAGAAAAAGGAGGATGGCAGCAGATGGGGTAGGGGAACAAAGGGGACTTGTAGAATATTTATTATGAGAGGGGCAGTCCTTTGAGATGACTTTCTGCCAGCTAACGTTAGGACCATTTAAGAGCATCAGTGAACTCAGTGACAGTCCCAGTTAACCTGCATGCAGTATAGGAGAACAGTACAGGTACAGTATGGCATGGGTGCAAGGTAGATTCAGATGTGGGTAGATTTGGGGTGGTTCAGATACAGTGAAGGTTTGGTATAATGTGGTATAGGCACAGTCTAGGCTTGGAATAAGTGCAGTATAGAATGCAATATGGGTGATGTATGGATTGGGTACACTTGGTGTCCTGCTTTGAGTGGCTCAATCCCTGCTAGCAGTATCAGCAATGGGTGAAAAGCCCTCTCACCAGTCCCTGGGATGCTGCAGTGACCTCTCACTGTAGAAGGGGGGGGGGGGCCTTGGTCTCTCCTTGAAAGCCTCCAGTGATCAGGGGTAGGAAGGATGTTCTAGTCTCCCCACAGCAGTGGTGTGGGTGCTGTGATGTGGGTGGTGCTGTTCTGCCCCTGGATTCCTCACTCCTAGTCTCAGACTCGGATCTCTGTTGTTATGGCAAGCAAATATTCACACAGAGTTGCACTCTTTCTAACTGCCTTGGTGCCAAGAGAAAGAACTTTCCCAGGCAGTTTTACAAAAATCATTTCTCCCATCCTCCTACTCCACACTGCCTTTTGAGATCTGTAGTGTAACCATTATAGTGTAGCCATTATATGTCTGCCATTATATGTCTGCCATCTCAAACTACAACTCCTAGGATTCTCAGTGCTCTCTATAGAGTCTTTTTATGCTGCTCAAAAAAATTAAAGGAACACTTTGAAAAACACATCAGATCTCAATAGGAAAAAACATCATGGTGGATATCTATACCGATGTCTACTGGGTAATTTGTTCAGAACGTAAAGATGCCCCATCGTTTGTTAAAAATGAAAATTATCAACCTACCTAATTCAACTGAAATCAAAGACACCCCGAAAATCAGGGTGAAAAATGATGCAGCAGGCTAGTCCATTTTTCTTACATTTCATTGCAGCAACTTAGAATGGTACTCAGTACTTTATATGGCCCCCACATGCTTGTATGCATGCTTGACAACGTCAGATAGTGTCCTGGGGTTTTTCCTCCCAGATTTGGACCTGGGCATCACTGAGCTCCTGGACAGTCTGAGGTGCAACTTGGCGTCATCAAATGGGCCGAAACATGATATCCTAGAGGTGTTCTATTGGATTAAGGTCAGGCAAGCGTGGGGGCCATTCAATGATATCAATTCCTTTATCCTCTAGGAATTTCCTACATACTCTCGCCACATGAGGCCGGGCAATGTCGTGCACCAGGAGGAACCCAGGACCCAGCATAGGGTCTGACATTTCATCCCTATTACTAATGGTAGTCAGGGTGTCATTGTCCAGCCTGTAGAGGTCTGTGCGTCCCTCCATGGATATGCCTTCCCAGACCATCACTGACCCACCACCAAAATGGTCATCATGCTGAACGATGTTACAGGGAGCATAACATTCTCCACAGCTTCTCCAGACCCTTTCACGTCTGTCACATGTGCTCAGGGTGAACCTGCTCTCATCTGTGAAAAGCACAGGGCACCAGTGGCAGACCTGCTAATTCTGGTGTTCAATGGCAAATTCCAATCGAGCTCTATGGTGTTGGGCAGTGAGCACAGGGCCCACTAGAGGACGTCGGGTCCTCAGGCTACCCTCATGAAGTCTGTTTCTGATTGTCTAGTCAGAGACATTCACACCAGTGGCCTGCTGGATGTCATTTTGTATGGCTCTTGCAATGCTCATCCTGTTCGTCCTTGCACAAAGGAGCATATACCAGTCCTGCTGATGGGGTAAGAACCTTCTACGGCCCTGTCCAGTTCTCCTAGTGTAACTGCCTGTCTCCTGGAATCTCCTCCATGCTCCTGAGACTGTGCTGGGAGACACAGCAAACCTTCTGGCAAAGGCACTTATTGATTTGCCATCCTGGAGGAGTTGGGACTGCCTGTGCAACCTCTGTAGGGTCCAGGTATCGCCTCATGGTACCAGTAGTGACACTGACCATAGCCAAATGCAAAACTAGTGAAAAACAGTCAGAAAAGATGAGTAGGGAAAAAAATGTCAGTGGCCTCCACCTGTAAAACTGTTCCTGTTTTGGGGGGTCGTCTCATTGTTGCACATCTAGTGCACCTGTTGTTAATGTCATTAACACCAAAGCAGGTGAAACTGATTAACAACCCTCTCTGCTACTTAACTGACCAGATCAATATCCCAGGAGTTTAACTGACTTGATGCTATACTCTGATTAAAAAATGTTCCTTTAATTTTTTTTTAGCAGTTTATATGTTTATGGGTTAGCTTGGCTATAGCTCTCCCCCTGCTGGCTGGAGGAGGATAGTGCGGCATAACATCAGTATCTCAGTATAGGGAGCAAAGAATAAAGGGTAATGTCTCTATTTCCATATTGCTGTATCCCACTACCTGGCTACATACAACTGAAAACTTTCCAAGTTTTACCTGTGTGCAGGCTAGCCATTAAATGGAATATATAGTCACATAATACTGATGATTTTGTCTCAGCCGTGCTACAATTCCAATGTGAATGAAACAAAATGATCTTGGTGGGTGTGATTGGAAGATGAGCATTACCTTCGTAATATAGCTGGACTGCACAAAAAGTTTGATTGTCTATTCACTGTACTGATTCAAGAGTATGCTGTTCATGCTACTATGTACTTTCTCATAGGGGGTATTGGAGAAGCTGTTTGACATGCACTGAAGGATTTGTGCATATGGCAAGAAGAGATTTCAAGAGAGTCTGATCATACAGAGGTAAACTGCCTAATTCAATACAGATTGTTTGATTCAACTTGGACAGTTCATAAATATTTAGGCCCCTTTCACACGGGGCAGATCAGCTTTCCCCCGATGATCAGAGCAGAGTGGGCAGAAGACTGGTCTGTGTCTGCTCTGTTTATGCAGAACAGACCGGTTGTACATTTACACCCAACTGCCCTCTGATTTGATCTGCCTAGAAGGAGGGGAATGGGTCCCCTTCCATTTCTTTTTAGTGATTAGAGATTAGAGATAGGCAAGTGTAAAAGGACATAAGTTTGTCTACATCTGATCGTCCATAGAGATATATGGACCATACGATCAGGTCTGCCTGCAAGTCTTTCTGATCGGATTATCCGTGTGAAAAGAGCCTTATACCACTGATGACCAAATCAGACTTAACTTGTTATAGTCTAGATCACAAAAGGGATACCACATCTTCAAGTGTTAGGGTACCAGAGGCATTACAAAATGCTTCAGTGAACTGTAAATTGTTGTGGTATATCTTCAAAGTAAATACACGACAAAACAGAATGCTCTATGTTGAGTATACAGAGGTAAACTAATGCTTAAGGCCCCTTTCAGATGGGGAAGATCCATCAGCGTGATCCTCCTGCTCAGTGGGGGACCTCTCCACTGATCCACGCTGAGCAGGAGGATAACAGGTCTCTGTCCGCTCTGCTGCTGCAGAGCGGACACAGACACTGCCTGCTGATTTCAATGGGACGGTCGGATGGAAATGGACTGCCTGTTCATTTCCACCCAATTGCCATCCGATCCGATCCACTGGACACATGGGGATGATCCCCATCTCTCTGTTTTTGGCATACAGGATTGGATCTTATGCAAGCGGGTGTCAGCGGACTATTGTCTGCTGCAACCCACCGGTCCATAGAAGTCTATGGATGAATCGATCAGGTACGCCTGAAAAATAGACAGGCGGACCCAGGGGAGGACTGACAACTCATGGGGCCCCTGAGCAATAGGGGATCATGGGGCCCTGTTGTTGCCCAAACTCAAAAAAGCCTATGAAAAAGGTAGCAGAGGCATCTCATGGGGCCCCCTACTGACCCCGGGCCCTCGGGCAGTGCCCGAGTTTCCAAATGGTCAGTCCGCCCCTGGGCGGACCCTACCGGTCTGCTCCTGTGAGAGGGGCCTAAAGTGTATCAAAAGCCAAACACTTTTTTTGTCTTGTTAGCACCTTTTTTTTTTTTGCTGTCTTTGGCCCCAGTGGTTATTATTTTTCCTATTTGTTCTAGTGACGTTATCAGTGGGACTGGATCTAAGATAAAAGACATTCTAAAATTCTGAGTTGTCACCAGAATACAAATAGAGGGCAAATCTTCCAGGAGGGACACTTACTATGGGATAAACTGTCTGGGAGATTTCCTTTCATTTCTTGTTATATCTATGGACAGGAAGTGATAGAAATGGGACTTAAACAAAAACAAAAAAATCTAACAGCAGTTATTACCCATAGACTATCCCCCTAAAAAAGTTTTGTCCTTGGATATACTTTAAAGTTTACTCTGGATAGGATACATAATTCAGATATTTACATATTCCTAACAAGCAATATTTGTCATTAGAGCAATGTTTTAATTTTATGCACACATGTAAAAGTCAGCATTTTTGGCCATGAAATTTCTTAAACTCCCAGAATAGTACACAGTATTTGCATAACTGTTTATCAAACGCATATTTTCATAAAAAAAATATTAAAATTTATTTTAGTGCACACAAACAAAATATAACACCCACTTTATTGGAAAAATATAAAAGATGGGGTCAAGTTAAGTAAATAGATACCAAACATGCCAAGTCTTAAAATTGTGCGAGCCAATGATATCGCAAAAAAAGAACCCAACAATCTGCATAGGTGATGCTTTCACAGCCCTTGTTGGTCATCAGTTTAGAGTTAACTATGAGCTGTGGTGCTAGAATTCTTGCTCTCATTCTGACCTTCTTAGTGATACCTTACATGTGTGGTGCGATCGAGGTTTACATACATGTGCGCACGCTGGGCCGCATTTGCATTGGCGGGTGTGTGGGGCAAGGGAGGTTATGTGTCATTTAAGAAAAAAACATTTTATTATACAGTTGTGTCCAAAATTATTCAACCCCCAATGCTGTAAAGGGGTTTAGGGACTATAGTGTACATTTGGAATTGTATTCAGAATCAAATTACAAGGACGTTGTAACTACCCAAATGCAACTAAAATGACATCAATTTTTATGTAATACAAGTAAATGGATGTAATTGCCAAATCTACCACTCTGAAGAACAGAGGTTCATACAGGTGCTTTCCATCAGGTATTTGCTGGATGTCACCGAGCAGCAATCAAGCATAATAAGCACCAATTAGGCAGCTTTAAAATGACTGTGATACTAGCTCTTCTAGACATTTACTGGTGTGGTTACAAACACATGGTGAAGGCAAGAGAATGGTCCAGAAGACAAGAGAAGAGGTGATTTCTCTATAAGAAGATTGCAAAGATGTTAAACATACCAAAGAGACACCTTAGGAAGCATCATTTCCAAATTCAAGGCAAAGGGCACTGTTGAAACGCTACCTGGTCGTGGCAGAAAAGAAGATGCTGACTTCGACTGCTGTGCGCTACCTGAAGCGTAGAGTGGAGAGAAGTCCCCGTGTGACTGCTGAGGAACTGAGAAAAGATTTGTCAGATGTGGGTACAGAAGTTTCAGCCCAGACAATAAGACGCACACTGCGTAATGAAGGCCTCCGTGCCAGAACTCCCAGGCGTACCCCCTTGCTGTCTCCAAAGAATAAGAAGAGTCGACTGCAGTATGCCAAAAGCCATGTGGACAAACCACAAAAGTTGTGGGATAGTGTTCTGTGGACTGATGAAACAAAATTAGAACTGTTTGGGCCCATGGATCAACGCTATGTTTGGAGGAGGAAGAACAAGGCCTATGATGAAAAGAACACCTTGCCTACTGTGAAGCATGGTGGAGGGTCAATCATGCTTTGGGGCTGTTTTGCTTCTTACAGGGAAGCTTCAGCGTGTGCAAGGTACCATGAATTCTCTTCAGTACAGGAGATATTGGATGGAAACGTGATGCAGTCCGTCACACACCTGAGGCTTGGGAGACGTTGGACCTTTCAACAGGACAATGATCCCAAGCATAACCTCCAAGTCCACTAGAGCATGGTTGCAGAGGAAAGGCTGGAACATTTTGGAGTGGCCATCGCAGTCACCAGACTTAAATCCGATTGAGAACCTCTGGTGGGACTTAAAGAAAGCAGTTGCAGTGCGCAAGCCTAAGAATGTGACTGAACTGGAGGCCTTTGCCCATGAAGAATGGGCGAAGATACCCGTAGATCGCTGCAAGACACTTGTGTCAAGCTATGCTTCACGTTTAAAAAGCTGTTATAACTGTAAAAGGATGCTGTACTAAGTACTAAGATTGAATGTCACTTGGGGGTTGAATAAAACTGATAATGCTGTGAGCACAGAAAAGACATTTGTGGTTATTTCATTATAACTGTTATGTTATATTTGTCTGACCTACAAGTGCCTCTTTAATGTAAATGTAAGCAAGATGACTGAATGATCAAGCAATGTCAAACTGGCCAAAACACTCAATTTCAGTGGGGGTTGAATAATTTTGGACACAACTGTAGTTTTTATTTTATTTATTCATTTTTTGTTAAAATGTAACTTTATTGATATCACAAGGGATAACAAATCCCCATGTGATAGCATTGGGCTGGTGACAGGTACTCTTTAAAGAGAAATGAGAGGTCTAATAAACCCCAATATCTCCTCTACTCTCCAGAGCATCTAACCAAGTAGAGATCTGCTCGGTTAGATGGTCTGCTGGCTGTACAGGCCAGCGAATGTAAGCACTGACTGGAAGTGACCAAATTATTGTCATTTCTAGTTTTATTCACTTCAGAGGAAATCAAGGCATGGATGTGCCTCTTTTTCCTCCTCCTCTCCTTCCTGAAGTTGGTAGATATGGTCCTGGGCTCCCAGTAACAACAGGAGATCTTGGGAACCATGCGAAGTGGGGCCCTTTCCACTGGTCTATAGTATGTACCTGCTACATACTGTATGCTAGGCAGTTTTGTTATGTATTTAAAGAGAACCAGCCACCAACAGAAATTTGGGGTATGCTGAAATAATTATACAGTGCGGCCTTACCTCTCAGGTATTGTTTGACTTTAGATTATTTTATTCTTTCCCTGTCAGACCAGAAGTGTCAGGCTGTCTCAGGCTATATGGCAGTCCTATCTCAGTGCTACCGACAGACATTCAAAAACTGTCATATAATAATGGTGATCACATGGAAGATTAAAGGCTTTGTAAAATTGCAGTTTTACCTCCTCCAACAGTAATCCCATGTTCAAAGTCCTAAATTTATAAAGCGTGTCCGAGCTGTCAGAAAAAAGGGGTCAGAGAGCTGAAGTTACACTCTGCAGAACTCAATGAGGAGAGTTCTGAGAGCTGATTGGAGGGAAGGGACACACCCCCCATTCACACAGGAACAGAGATGAGGCTGTCAATTACAGGCTGTGCCCTCCGCTGTCACATTTTTTCTTTTGGTGTCAGGAAAACTCATCATCATACATTACTCAAGCTGCTAGGAGAGGAATGAATCAGCAGGCAGAGGTTCACAACCACTTTAATTAATTTTACCAAGGGGTGCTAGGAGTTCACAATCCCATGGGGCCACTACGTAATACTTGTGGCCCTCACAAGTGTTCCCTAGACGGTTATAATGTACAACTCCAAACTTCAAAAGCAGACCATCTTTTTTTTTTCATTCTTTATTTTCAGAAGACCATTTTTTTATCCAGTTAAAAAATGTATGTGCAAGTAGGTTCCATTCAATAATAAGACTGTTAACATGAGTATGCTGCATTTATCCAATGACTGTGGCGGGCTAAACATTGCAGTGTGTTCCACTGATACCGTAAAGGGAATGATGATGATGAAATGTCTCAACCCCATCAGGCATAATGGCTGCAACCCTATGTCTACAAAAATCAAGTCTTTATTACAAAACAGCAAGCTGGCAGAAGCCAAAAATTGCTCCCGCAAAGAGTCTCTTCAATCCTGTTATCAATTTTAAAATACATTCTTTAAAAAAAAAAAAAAACATGAATTTCTGTGTGCAGGTAGAATTTAAGCCAGTACTCAGCAATGACCTTAATCAGCAAGTCAATAACTGCAACATTTTACAGTTCTGGAAGACCATTTACTGTATGTTTCAAGATTGTCCTTAATCCTATATCAGTTATGTGCCTTAAACAAATACATCTGAATTATGTTTACATTGTGACACCTGAATTGTGTTGTTTTTGTGAAATATTAGAGTGTTCCTAATGGAAACCAAGTTGAAGACGTCAAAGGATTTAATTGAAGATGTCAAATGATTTAATTGTAATTGATGGGATAAAAGCTCTAGGTTGCAGTAACATCGTTCATAGGCATGTAATGTATAAGATAAATGAACAGAAAAATGACCTAGGGCAATTCTACTATCTCATATCTCACTGTGAAAGATAAGATTTACAGGCTGCCTTTATGCCCATTTTACTGAGAAGCAGTTTCTTTCCTTTGTGTATTTGGTAAACCAGTCACACTCCTAAAACAACTGCTGCAATACATGTATTTATAGTGGAGGCCAATATTGGTTCTTTGTGGACTGTTTTACATCAAACTAATTGTTGCTGTACAATGCTGTTTTTTTCTTATAGGCAAAATGTATACAATCAAAAGATTGCGTAGGGTTATCATAATTGCTAAAAGGATGTGTGTAACACGGTTACAGGCGAGATAAAGGAGAGACCACAGAAGGACACTATAGTCTAAAGAGGGTACAAGCCAGCCATTGATGATGTAATTTTCTTTCCTAGAAGAAATCTCTTTGCTAGATTCCCCCATCAACACAGACAGTGTTGCTAGGGGAATCCCTCCCGTGGAGCTATTGTGTTCTCCTGGTAGGGAGGTGCGGGGGGGGGGGGGGGGGAACGTTCTGGGAAAACAGAGTGATTAT